ATAGATACCACACTGTCAATTGGTACATTGTCCATCAAACACTCTTAAATATATAATAGTTCAACTACGCATTGGTGGATAAGCAAATTGTTCACTTGGGCCATGTCTATCACCAAAAGAATAACCCGGAGAGATCCAATTAACACAACTGATTTTTATTTATTCAGCGTATATACAACTTTCAGTATCCGCCCTAGCTGTCCATGCCATTAACACAACAAGTTCTAGAAGCACACAAGAACTTGAACGTGCTGTAACCGGCGTTCAGACTTCAGATTCAGACACGACGCTATGATAAACATGCCAAGGAACACATGGTTACTTCCGTTTCCGCCGTAATCTGAACCTGATGCGCTCCTGAGTTTTTTGATAAAACACTCTGGTAACTAAACTGCGTTGGTTCGATGCTGTCTCCTGATGAAGCGATGACGGACTACTTAATGCCGCGCGCTAAAGCTTTGGCCGCAAGCTAAGTGCCAAGTAAGTAGCATAGCACAAAGTACACGTCGTTCTACCGATCATGCCAAGGTTGTACACGAGGCCCTCGGTGCTCTCCGGCGAGTCTGTCGACGACATCATCGGCGACAGCTACGGCGTCTTGGCAACCGTGGCGGGCGAGTCCTGCTCGTTGCTCGTCGCGTCCTGCGTGCTCGCCGCGTCCTTCATCATCTGGGAGGCGTGCGCCTTCGCTGCCTTGGCCGCGGTGCTCGTCGCCGGCGTCACCTGGTGCGTGAGAGTCGCTGCCGCGGCTCGTGCTGCCGGCACGGTGTTTCGTCCCACCGCCGCGCCAGCAGGCAGAGCCGGCGGAGTGTGCGGGCTTGCCGAAATAGACATCAGCGCGCTGCCAAGTCCTCGTACCCGACGGAGTGACGTGCGCCGTGTGCCCGGAGGACCTTCGCGGCGACGAGATGGTGCGGAGCCTGCCCGAGTGTCGGCACGTGTTGCACGTCGGCTGCATCGACGCGTGGCTGCAGATGCACGTGACGTGCCCGCTGTGCAGGTCTGATCTCTCGCCGCGGCGACGGGTTACGACGGCCGTGCCGGTAGGATCGCAGGCTGAATCCTTATCGCCGCAGTAATGAAGAGTTCAAAATGTTTTCGAATAGTAGCGTACGTTTTGATCAGTTGTGCAGGGGGGGGATGGGTGATGGTGGACGCGTGGCGGAGAAACGAAGCAAACGTTCACAGGAGCCTGGCTCCTCCCGATGCATCTCTCGGCTCCTTCGCGTTCGTGTAGTGGTCAGCGGGACAGCGGCTCGGCTCGGCTCCACGTTGATTCCACAACGCACGCCGAGTGCCTGGCCGCACCACGTCGCCACGGACAGTCGGACACGCGCTTCCGCCGCACCACGTCGAAGCCGCCCAGCTGCTGCTGCCCGTTGCCATCGCACAGATCGGCGGTCTCCTCGGCGTGGCACGGCGGTGCGGCGGCGCTCGTGCTGTTGTCGAGGCACTGGCACTCGGCCTTCTCGGATCTCGGGGACGCACAGGCCGTACGCGCCGCACGATGGCCCTGTAGTCCGACGTCCAGGCCCTGGAGCCGCCGGCCCAGTAGTACGTGAGGAGGTTGCCGTCGTCGTCCAGCGTCATCCGCTGGAACACGCCGGTGAGGTTGTGGACGAACATGTCGAACGAGAGCACGTCGATCCTTTGGCCGCTGCCGCCGCCCTCGAGGTACAGATCGTCAGGCCAAAGAACCCGCGGGCATCGAGGCGGCCGTAGACCGGCGGCTCCGTGGCGTTCTCTGGCTGCGCCATCGTTGCCGTGCCGCCAGTACGTCGGCGTCGCCCGGCCGCCGTAGAACTCCATGTGCAGCGCCATGTACGTCTTCCCGAGCCGCAGCGCGAACCGGCGGTTCGCGGAGACGAGCGGCGGCGAGGAGCCAGTGAAGTTCTGCCCCAGGACGAGCGTGTCGGACAGGTGGCGGAAGCTCTCTCACCGTGGACGCGCCCTTAGCTCGATCTGTTGCGCCGCCGCCGGTATCGAGCACGGCCAGGCACTCGAGATGCATCGGGAGGAGCCAGGCTCCCGTGAACGTTTGATTCGTTTCTCCGCCATGCGTCCACCATCGAGTGTAGGGCGCACCGTCGGTGGGATGAACCTCTCGCCCACCCAATGTTTTTCGGTGCGAGGTGGGAAATGTGAAGCCAGAACAACTACTAGCACTGTGGCAATCAATAGGCTTGTGATAATTGAGGGCATGTTTATAGGGCTGTGCAGTTTTTCAACTAACAAAAACCGAAAACCAAACCGAGCAGACCCAAACGGATGAATCGGTTTGTTCGGTTCTTGGTTTCGGATTCAATATTTTAACCCGGCAGTTTGATTGTCGGCTATAGCTTTGGGATTTTACTCAAACCGAACTAAAGAACCGATCAAACAAACTAATTAAGACAACAATCGATGAACACCAATACACCCCCTGCCTGGCGGCCTCCTCCCCCAATCTCCTAGTCTAGCAACCCACCACGGCCTAATAATATGCATCGCTGGCCTAGCTCACTCCAGCACCCCTAGACTAACGCATTCAGACTTGTATGCACTCCTGAACCCCAACTTGTTTTTGGCTGGTGCAAGAGAACATAACACCTTGATGGGGAAGGCTCGGTGGTTGGGAGCGTACCTCAATGGAGTCCCAACGTGGCCAGAGGTTGTGTTTTGGCATTCAACATTGGGGGATACATCACCGTGTCATTGGGAGTTTCACACTCTTGTTTGGTCCTTTACTTACCAGATTTACACTTTTGTCATTGTGCTTGATGGTGTGCTCTTTACTTTTCCTAGATTAGTATATGCTAGTTTACAGATTTGGCTCCCCTAAACTTTTGTGGGTTTTTTGTAAACAGGGAGCACCACAAAAACATAGGTAGAAATAAAGCATATCCCTAGGCTAGTTTTTAAAGAGCCAATTCATCCCCTCGACGCCTCCTCTTAGGTATTGACCTAAGTTTTTAAAGAGCCAATTCATCCCCTCCTCTTAGGTATTGACCGCTCATTGGTCCTTACACGAGTGCCTCCTATACCGGCACAACATGATCCTCATCGACATGGTTGTGTCCTTTGTGCCAGTCCGAGTACATGTCTACCTAGTCGTCATCATGTTAGATCATCATCACTGGCAAGCGACCTCTTGTCAGCTTCCACTCATAGTCTAAGCGTCCATATTTTTCACGCTATGATTGTGGGGCATGTTACAGTACATCTCAAGCATCCGAGTTATTTTGGTATGGTAGGATTAGTTTCCATCTTTATCTCTATAGGATTATATGGTACTATATCATCCACAATTCATAGTGTTCATATTCTTGCAGTATTTCTCAAAAAAAATCTCGCAGTATGACGTTTTGCTTTTTATAAGTTTTTTTTGGTTTCCCCTCTTTTTGTATTGCATCTCGTAAGATTAAAAAGTAAGCTTCAAATGAGTAATTAATAATTAGTTATTGCAAGATCTTTCAATTTTGATCCAGAGAATGATTTGGATCATGTGAGGATCCAGCAGGAATGATGGGAGGATCGATGTGGAATCCCCATCCACAGGACAACACTTGCCCATGAGCGTCGCCTAACTTGAGCATGGATGGGGAAGGAAGAGGAAGATACAACACCAAGGAAGAAGATACAACACCCGATCTGCTTTTGAAATATCCAGATGCAACACTTGCAACATATGTCTTAAAGGCTAATGAAATACTTGAAATATACATCTGAAACACTTGCAAAAGTACCTAAAAACACTTGCAACCATCGTAAACATATGCAAACATCCAGAAAAAACACTTACAACATATACGCGAAATATACGCAACATCCAGATAAGCACACTTTCAACATATGTCTAAAAAACAGATGAAACATTGGGAACAAAAGCTTGCAACATACGTGTACAACCGTTACAACATATGCAACATCCCGATCTATTTTTGTAACATCCATATGAAACACATGCAACATACCTATAAAACATCTGAAATACTTGAAACATGCGTTTTGCAACATTGAGAAGGCCAGGGCCGGTCGAATCTAGATATTGGGGTCAGAGCCGGCGATGAGCGGCAGCGCGCGAGCACCACCAGCACCAGCGCGTGGCGCGAGCACCACCATCACCAGCGCCACTAGCACGGGGCTTGGCTCGGTCGGGCGAGCAGCACAGCACGTGCGACGGGAGGGAGCGGGCGGCGCCACGACGGGCAGAGTGAGCACCACCAGCATCAGCGCCTAGCTGCAGCACGCGCGAGCACCACCGGTGGAGAGGAAGTATGGTGGCAGGACCACTGCAGCGGAGCAGTTGCTGCACGCGACAGCGGTGCTGGGAGTCTGGGACATCAACCAGTGGAGGTGGGGTTTCAATTCTAGAGAGTGGACAATGATCGAACGATTTCCCAATAAAAAAATACGAGCATAATTGAACACAATTGTTGGGCCGTTCAAGCCAGAGCATCGTGCCCCACGGCAACATCAGCGTCCAGAAGGTCGGATGCCCGCCCCTAAGCATTTCCGTAAGAAGAAAATTCACGGGCGGTCCTTAAAGTTGGCAATGGGTGCTATCTAGGTCCCTCTACTTTCAAAATGCTAATTCTAGGTCTATGAACTTGGCTTCGGGTGTCATGCAGGTCCCAACCCGCTCTGGATGCTAACGTGACGCGCTGGCGTGGCTCCTACATATGGGGCCCACATGTCAGTTAGTTATATTTCTGTTTATTTTTATTTTATGCTGATGTGGTACGCTGACTTTTTCAAAAAATAATTTATAAAGGACTAAAATTTTGATATACATCCGAACTCATATGAAAAAATTATAAAGGACTAAACTGCAGCAGTGACACGCTAAAGCCGCCTGGTGCCAAACCCCCACCCATGGCGAACACTATAAATTGCCGCGAAAAATGTTCGTTCATGGCGGGGCAGTGCACACTGAATCACTGATTGAAGCTAACTAGCTAGCTGCACGCAAGCTAAGCACGGCAATCAGCTTCTGACGCACACTCACCGACATCACCACTATGCTCAACTTGTACCCAAGGCAACAGCTCCAGGCGAGGAACGCCGCCGTCGGCGGCGGAGACAAGGGCGTCGATGAGCTCGACGGCGGCTACAACCCCTTCTACGGCATTGCCGTCGTGTGCCTGTCCATCTTCCTCTTCTGCGTGCTCGCCGCCTCCGTCACCATCTGGAAGGCGCTCGCCGTCGCTGCTCTGGCCGCGCTGCTGCTCGGCGTCGGCGGCTGCTTCGCTCCCAAGGGGTGGTTCCGTCGGTCAACAACAGGGCGGGGCCGGGGCGCGAGCGCAAGCGCGGAGCTGGTTGTCACGGTCAGGGCAACAGCCGGCCCCGCGCGGCCAGGCTACGCGTGTGCTCAAGTAGTGGACGCGCCGCCGGCGTTCGCGTTCCAGTGCAGCCCGATAAAGGCCGACGACGGCTGGTCTGAACCGGCAGCGGCGGCTGCAAGCAGCAGCGTCGTGTGCTCGGTGTGCCTGGAGGACGTCCGCGGCGGCGAGATGGTGCGGCAGGTGCCGGCGTGCAGGCACATATTCCACGTGGGCTGCATCGACATGTGGCTCCACTCGCACGGGAAGTGCCCGATGTGCCGCTGCGTGGTTTCGCCGCCGTTCAAAGCAGTGACAACATCGAGAGCTGCGGCTGAGGCACCAGAGTCGTCAGCTGATGATGAGTTGCCGCCGGTGTAATTAACTAGCGCACGTGGTAACCGTGTACATATAGACGTCATGTATAGTACAAATTCTATACATTGTTGTTACAGATTCTATTACGATGAAAAAATTACGATTTGTAGTTGGTGGTAATTAGAGACAACTAGCTAGTTACAGAGTCATTTTTGTCATGCCATTGTAACAACTTCATATCATGACAAATTTTAATGATTTGTGATAAAACTTCAGCCATTAGTTAGCAGAGTTCTTGTCGTGCTTCATGTCGATCAATTCGGTGATCGTACCATGTCAACAATAAGGGTACCAGGAGCACCAGAATCTTCCGGTCCGATCGGCCGAACAGGAAGCTCCCGCTGAACAGCGCTCTATGCCTCTAAGCGTGAGGAACGCTCTATCTTCATGGGCTTTTTATTATTTATTCTAGTCCAATAGTTATAAATTGCTGGAGGAAGATCCAAAACCATGTTATGAGTCCGTTCTCTCCACGTCTCCGTTGTATGTTTGTCATTTTTTTTTTTATTTTTTATTTTTCATTTTTATTTTTCCTTTTCCATTTCTTTTCTTTTTTATTTTTTCTTTTCTATTATTCTTATCTACTTCCAACTTTTATTTTTAATTTTCCTTTTATTTTATGTGATTTTTTTCTTTATTATTTTATTTTATTTTATTTATTTTTTTATTATTCTTTTTCTTTCCGTTATTTAATTTTTTATTTTTCTTATTTTTGTTTTATGTGAATTATTGTTATCATTATCATCATTATTATTATTATATTATTATTATTATTATTATTATTATTATTATTATTATTATTTTATATATTTTTTATCGTTCTTTTCATTTCTTTTTTCTTCCTTTTTCTTTTTCTCTTTCCACTATGTTTTCTCTATAGATTTTTGATTTTTTGATTTTTTATTTTACTCTAATTAATTATTTTGTTTTTCATGTTTACTTTTTATTTTTCTATATTCTATGAGATGTTGTGATGTTCACGCAGTATATAATAATGTTCATACGATGTATTTTATGATCTTCATGTAGTATACAATGATGTTCTGCGATATATTTGTGATGTTCATGTATTTATGATGTTCATGTGGTATATACATGTGATATTTTATGATGTATTTTTGCGATGTTTATATAATATACATGTGATATTCTATGATGTATTTTTGTGATGTTCACGTGGTATATATGTGATTCTTAATGATTTTTTGTGATATTCATGTGGTATACATGTAATGTTCTATGATGTATTTTGTGATGTTCATGTAGTATACATGTGATGTTCACGTAGTATACAATGATGTTATATAATATTTTGTGATGTTCACATAATACACATGTGATGTTTTATGATGTTTTTTTAATGTTCATGTGATACACATGTGATGCTCTATGATGTATTTTTTATGATGTTATGTGATGGGCTGATTTGGTTTATAATAGTATAAATATTTTTAGACAAATCATATACATTGTGTAGTGGTAAGAAATATTCACATAGTACCTATGAGATGCTTTGTGATATATTTTAGGTTGTTCAAGTAGTATTGACACATTGTTCTATTTATTTTCTCTCTTTTTACATGGGCTTTTTTCTTTCTGTTATTTTTATTTTTTCTTATGTCTTGTTCTATCTTTATTAATTTTTCCTATTTTTTATATGTTAAGTTATTTATTATTTCTATATATTTCATAGATTTTTCTCATTCATTTTTCCTCTATTTTCACGATATTATAATACCATTCACATGAACATATATTGTTTTTATCCTAAATCCAAATATTATTCTCCTTAACTAAAAACATTTTTTTATGACGACGGAACATTTAATCATGGACCTATAACATCGTAGTACTCAATTAAAACAATTGTTCTATCTTCATCAGATAATTGTTCACCAATAATATTTTTATCTAAATCTTGTTTTGAAGAGTTTATTGCAAGAAATACGATGGTGCAATCGATTTAATTTTGATACTTGTTTTAACAACTATGACTTTTTGTTTACTTCAAAACGTATTGGACATGTGCTGACGTAAGTAATTTTGGATTTTCCATGCATGCCACGTTCCTACGGTGAGAAATGGGTCTAAATAACGCATAACACACTCCCAAAATTAGCGTCTAGCGAAGTTCCATGCGGAGCGGGCCGGCCCATGCGCCGGAAGCAGCGAAGGCCCATGCGCAACGCGTTGCCAGCCTCGGAATAAAATCATCGGCGCGCTGTTAGCATCCGGCCGCCCGGACACTAACACCGCCCCAGGAGCACGGGAGGAGTGAGGTCAAGGCTCGTGCTGACCAGCTTGACTGCCATGCGCCGTGGTCTACTTTCAATTCTAGTGTGGCTGAAATGTAAAGAAACAAAAAAAAAAGAAAAAGAAAAATAACACAACATCATTAAAAACCAAGTAAAAACAACCGGCAAGAACAACTTCTTTGGTAATTGGTAAGTATAGAAAAGAAAACTATCCACCAGTGAAACACATTATAAACAAATGTTCAATTTTTTTTACAAAAGTCCTGTTTTGATCATTAGCAGCTAATAGCTAGTTGCTTAGTGTAGAGTAGCTCATATAGGAGTGATTCCATTGGATTACTAGGAGGGAGCTGGCGAGCTAATGAGAATTGATTCTCTGCTGATCCCCACCAGAATATAATAGGGAGAAGGGTGAAGCAGGTTTTTTTAGCTCCTAGCTCCTAATGTAAATGCTGAAGTGATTCTCTCCTGATTCCCACCTAAAGCAATTGGCATTTTGGGCGTTTGGCTGGATGGAAGTGATTTTCTTCGGAGAAGGTGAAGCTAAAGCTCTCCCAAACGGCCCCATAACTAATATATGGCATATCCAAGGGAAGCCCCAAACACGTACTCTCCATCTGTGATTCTGCTTTCTCTCACTTTTCTGTACAAAAACAACAATTATGTGGTTGGGAGAATTAAGAGGACACAAGGGAGGTTTAAGAGGACCCCACACCTCTCTCAAAATTTAGGGAGGTTTAAGAAGACTCCCATCTGTGCAACTTTACATTGCACAACATTTTTGGATGGACACCATTAACGCGCAACAACCCATCTTCCTCCTCGCGATGCCTTCTCCCCCGCCTTCTTCTTCCTCCCCTCCCCCTCCTTCCTTGCCCCTCCCCACCCTTTGTCCACCACCCCACCCACCTCCCATCCCCCCCTCGCCTCCCCTAATCTCACACTGGCTCGCTAAGCGCGTCGTCATCCTTCCACCACCGATGAGCCGCCTCGACACGCCACCCTCAACCCGCTCCCTCCCTGTGACCCATGACCCCAATCTCAAAGGTGGGCGGCGGTGGCTCTGCCATGGCGCCCCCCGCGTGGCCCTATCTAACAGCCTTCTCGGCGAGGCTCAGCTCGGGCGGGCGGCCACCGCCGCGCCTACCCCGTCATTGTCTCTCCCGCCTCGCCAGTGTCATGGCCGCCTTCCCCCCGAACCCCCTTAGACTACTACATAAAAGATTTTGCAAGGCAGTGACCTTTTATTAAATGAGGCAGGCGAGCTAGGCGGCCGCCTTCGTTAATCGGTGGCAGGGCCATCGACGAAGCACCTGTCTCGGTTAAAGATTAACAAAGGCATGAAGCTTTATGTGTACACCTCCGTTAATGTTCGATTAACGGAGGCTCCATTAATGTATTTACTGAGGCGGGCACAGTTAGCAAACCACCTCAATTAATAGAGCATTAACCAAGGCAGACGCCTTATGCCACCCACCTTGGTTAATCCATTAATGGAGGTAGTTGCAAAATAACCGCCTCCTAAAATTGATTAATGGAGGTGGACCTCTTAATGGAGGCCATTTTTGAAGGCTGACGCCTTATGAGGCCCGCCTCGGTTAAAAGCCCCGAGGCCCACACAACAGCTCACTTCAAACCTTAAGTATATATACGCAGCCCCCCTCTCTCTCCACCTAAACTTCTCACCCAGCCGCCACACCGAGAACCAGCAGCCACACGACGTCTCCCCTCTCCTCTCGGCGCACAGAAGTTGCACCTACTTCTCTCTCCCTTTGCTCCCTTTCCATCTCCATCTCCCTCTCCTTCTTTGTCCCCTCTCTCTGCTCCCTCTCCGCCGCGCATCCTTCCTTGACTATGGCCTAGAGCTCAGCGTGTGTGGGTCTTCTCCATGGCGGCGATGGTGGCTCACGGCAGGGCTCGGCGCGGGGCCCCTCCGGTGGTGGTCCTCGTCGGACCTCCGATTTGGCCACCATTTTTTACGGCGACAAGGGCACGGATCCAGCCATCGCGGCGAGATCCGACCACCACCGGCAGAGCTAGGCGTGATTCAGCACCATTAATATGGATCCACCAACTTGAGGTGGGCGCGGATCCGGCCACCACCGACGTGGATCCAGCCACCAACTGCGGTGAGGGCGTTTGTCCACCATGAACGGAGACATGGTGGTGGCACCAGGCGGTTGGGCCTAGGGTTGCTTGCCTCGTCGGGATTAAGGCTTTTTTTAGTATTGATTTTCGCAGGCGGGCACCCTAATGTGCCCACCTCCATTAATAGATTAACCGAGGTGGGCCAGACAACCGCCTCTGTTTGTCCGCATGAACGGAGACATGTGAACAGAGGCGGTTATGTTGCCTGCCTCCATTAAGCTATCTGTAGTAGTGTTCTAAGCCCGCCGGAGAGCAGATCCCTGACGCGCTAGAACCCTAGCCGCCGACGTCGTCTTCTTCTTCTCCGGTGGGGCACGGGCAGGTGGAAGAGCGTGGGAGCGGGAGAGGAAGAGGGAGCGTGGGAGAGGGTCACGCCGTCGCGCTCCAGCGTGACGGTCGCGTATTTGTGTTTCCCCTTTTGATAGAACAAATGGTTTTCACTCTTAAAATTGGGACCTAATCTTTAAATAAAGTGAATGATCATATTTCTTGTGACTAACAGAAAAACTCAAGACTCATCGACTATACATTAATGTTCAAAGAATGATGCCATGTGGTAAATTTGAATTCAAATTCAAATTATAACATTTGAATATTTGAATTTGAATTGTTGTTTAATGTTATACGATGAAATATTTGTGATGGCCGGCAATGTTCATATGAACTAGGGTGTTGTTGTAGAATAAAAGAGAAATGAAAAGACAAAAGGATGCATAGACAGCACAAACAATTGGGTACTATAATTTTACTGTCCCTCTATTTGTTTGCAAATACACAGATGGGGACAACAGATGAGGCAAATGGCTGGAGCTCCTAGGTCATTTGGATCCACTAGCTAATACTCCCTCTGCCCTCAAATTATAATTTATTCTAACTTTTTTAAGAGTCAAAACATATCAAGTTTCACCAAATTTATACAATAAAACAATAATGTTTATAATTTTAAGTAAGTACTCATTAGATTCTTCATTAATCATATTTTCATAGCATATCTATTTAATGTCATAAATCTTTGTAATTCTCTGACTCCTAAGAAAGTTGGAATCACTTAGAATTTGGAACGGAGTAAGTGATTGGAATCTTAGAATTCTTAATGCCCAGTCTTTACTGTGTCCACACATACTGCATCGGAAGGGGAGGTGGGAGCGCTGCTCGGCTGGGAATTTCTTCGTAGAAGCAACAGCCGAACAAACTATTAACTAGGTGTACATTTGTCTTTTGCTATTCTCCTTGTGTCCTAAATTTGTCTGGATGTCGTCAGTTTGCCTCACTGAATGTAAATGCTGCCATTGGATAACAGCTATCTAAATGCGAATCATGCAGTGTGAAAATAGCTCTCTAAATGTGAATGATGCTGTGTGAAAACAGCTCTATGAAATGTGAATAATGCAGTGGTGAAAGTAGTACTCTGAAATGTGAATAATACGGTGGTGAAAGTAGGTCTGAAATGTGTTCACGCGTGAAAGCTTCTAATTTGATATACTCCATTTCATATCCTATGAATATTCAAGATAATTAAAATATTTTCATTTACAACGTTAATTTGCAATGTGACAGTTCTAGTATAATACTACAATAATATCAAATGGCTATATAGTTAACATGGCATACTTGATCACTACAGAATGTAGGAATTAAATGCTACAGCTAGCTTACGAAACAGTGAAATAAAAGTGTGCATTGAGAGGGCTTATTTCACACTCAGTTTCCAATAATATCAGGTCTTGAAAATAGTGAGACAAAACCTACCATTGAGACTGGTCTTATGCTTTGACCTCAAATGACAGGATTGACAGCCACGAAACCAAAACTGCGGCCATAGGGCAGTTGATAAGAGCAAATCCTGAAAACCACGTGCGCAAACTGCGCGCGCTATGCCAGTCGTATTGGCAGTTTGTAAAGCAATTGTAACCTCAGTGTCAGGCGTTCTGTGTCTATTTCTTGCCGCGCCTACCTACCGTGCACCCATGGTAGCAGGGCAAAGCCTGTCATCCTTATGCAAGGAAGACACAGCGACGGAATACTCATAATGAGCAGTACAGCCACGATTATTCTCTCCGCCGCGAGTTCGGCCGGCGGCAGCGATGACGACGACGTCGAGTGCCGCACCTGCTACGGCGTCGTCGTGGCCTGCGTGTCGATGCTCCTGTTCTGCGTTCTCGCGGCCACCACCGGCGTTGTTAAGGCCAGCGCCGTCACCGGCTTCACCGTGGTGCTCTTTGGCATAGTCGGCTGGCTGATACCCTACGGCGGCGCCACGGCCACCGGGGGAGACGCCATGGGCGCCGCGCGGCGAGCTACTCATAACGACACAGGCGCCAGGGTCATGATGGCGCTTCGGCGGGTCGGCTACTCCTGCCCGCTCGGTGGCGCGGCTTCCAGCTACGTCCCGCCAGCCTTTGCGTACGAGTGTCCCGCCGATGCCGACGGCAGCGGCAAGTCTGCGGGCAGCGCGCTGTGCGCGGTGTGCCTGGAGGACGTGCAGCGCGGGGAGACGGTCCGGCGGATGCCCGCGTGTGGGCACCTGTTCCATAAGGACTGCATCGACATGTGGCTGCACTCGCACACGACGTGCCCGCTGTGCAGGTGTGACCTCTCGCCGCGGTGGCGTACCACGAAAACCATCGCGACGACGGTAGCGGCGCAGTCGTCGGCTGACGCGCTGCCGCCGGTTTAGTATTCAGATTGTTTGCAGCATTTCTTGTCCGGCACATTATAGCGGGCCATAGTGTCTCTGTGTGATCTGTATATTCCTATGTGGGTTGTACACATTGTTCGTAGTGTAAATTTGGTCCACGGTGAATGTTCGGATAGACAGGTTCATCATCAAGCCTACCAAACTATTCGATGATCGATATTCCTATGTGGTGAATGAGCGAACACTGGTAATTATTTAGCAAATTAGAATATAAAAAAAAACTTGTTGCAGCTAATGAAGCCGCTGACGTATATGTCAAGCTCTAAAGTTTTCCTGTGTACAAATACTGAAGGCAGTCTGTCAGTCGTTTTCGATTTTGATATCTGAAGTCTCGATCAGGCTGGGAAAAGTAACATTTCTCACGTCTAATCAACGTGCCCTGACCAAAGTGAAGAGATAAGATCTTTCGCTCAAAAAAATGCGTTTACGATCCGCCAAAAGCGGTCGGAATCAAAACCAAAACTGGAACCAAATCAAACAACCAAAACTGCGGCCACCAGTGGCCAAGCCAATACCTGGGGCCAAACAAACCCGCCGCGGTGCCGCGGTCGCCAACGAGCGATTGGAATTGGAAGCCGAACGTGGCCGGCACGCCGCAGAGTCCAAGCACCAGCCACCTATTTCTTGCGGCCGCGACGCTGCGCCATGGCAACCTCGTGTCGTGACGACACCGCACGCGCCGGCGCGAACGCACAACGCTTACTACTTTTTCGCAATCTTAGATTTGTTTTTCTAATGCCCAACCCGCTGCCGAGCGGCGCCCGGCCCAACGACGGTTCCCTCGTCTGCTATGGCATCGTCGTCGCCACCGCGTCGCTGCTCCTGCTCGCCATCCTCGCCGCCACGGTCAGTATCGTCAAGGCGTGCGCCCTGGCCGGCGCGGTCGCGGTGGTGTTCATCGCCGCCGGCTGCGTCTCCCGGCGGTGCGCGGCAGACGGAGCCGCTCCTGCGCTGCCCACGACGGTGGCGATGATGCCAGCCGCGCGCGCCCGCGCCGCGTGTGGCCTCGTTGACGCCGCGATCGACGCGCTGCCGGCGTTCGCGTACGCGCGCCATGCTGGCACGTGTGGCGCCGAAGGTAGCAGCAGCAAGTCCGGAAGATGCGCACTCTGCTCGGTATGCCTGGAGGACGTCGAGGCCGGCGAGATGGTCCGGCAGCTGCCGGCGTGCGGCCACCTGTTCCATGTGGGGTGCATCGACATGTGGCTGCACTCGCATGCGACGTGCCCTCTGTGCCGGTGCGACGTCTCGCCGCATCCAGTAGCTGTGAAGCTGACGGCAGCTGCAGATCCACGGGATGGTGCGCTGCGGCCGGTGTGAGCTGCTGAGATCATACTCACAGCCGGGAGTGGGTCCTGTTATGGTGCGACTAAAGGTCGTCGATTTTTGCTAAAGCAGATGAAGTTCTGTTTCGGGAAGAGACAATTATTCTTCAATTGTTGTGACCGATTTGTTTGATTGTTATTATATATACTGGGGCTTGAGAATTCAATAACCACAGCTGATAAATTGAAGAGACTCACTGCAACCATTACATCACGTGTTCCTATGTACCATCATCTAAATTTTAGATCATTTTACAGGTCTTAAATGTCAAATAGGAGGTCTAAAATGTTAACTAAAGTTTAGCCAATTTCATAAAAACTTTTAGATCACAAAGATAAGTTATGGAAGGGCTAGAGCGTCTGAACCGACGATGCGTCCGGACGTAGCTCCCGTACGTTATTTTGCACCGCATCCAACCACCTGAGTCCGCATCCCATCCAGTGCCCACGTCCCATGTTTAGAAGTCGCACCGCGCCCCCGCGCCCATTCTCAGGCCCCACGTGAGTCCCGTCACCTGCCCTGCCTGCGGATGCGTGCCGCGGAGGCGTCTGCGGGCCACAGGTGTCCGCACGGTGACTCACGACAACGCCCCAGCACCAGCAAGCAGCTGTCCACCAGCCACAGCCGTCATTGAAACATGTGCTCTTCCAGATCCACTTTTGAAACATTAAGATGAAATACTTGCAATATACATCTGAAACAGATAAAACACTTGAAATATAAGCTTGAAACATGCGTGTATATCCATAACAACATATGCAACATCAAAACCTACTTTTCAACATCTAGATAAAATACTTGCAACATGAGTTTGAAACATTCTAAACACTTGAAACATGCGTATAGAGCCATAGCAAACATATGCAATATCTAGCTAAAACACTGAAAACATACATTTGAAACACATGAAACACTTGAAACATAGCTTGCCACATACAAATATTGTCGTTGCAACATATGCAGCATCGTAGATCTACTTTTACAACATCCAAATAAAATACTTGAACATAAAATATGAAACGACTAAAACATTTGAAACACAAAACATCGCTGGCGGACATGGCCTACGTTGTGTGGAACTACGATAGACAACAAGTTTGGGTCATGGGAACGTCATGAACAACGACTGGCCTCCTCCTCCTGGTGACGCGGTGCACGCTATAGCTGCGACAGCCGAGGGGGACGGGGCGCGGCAGGGGATGCCCCACGCAACACGGGATGGAGCCGTGCCACGGCGTGAGATAAGGGCAGCATGCGGCGTGGGGTGGGGTGCGACAAGGATGGTTGCAACAGAGTGGGGCCGGTGGATGGCACATTGTTGATGGTAGTTACCATCCATCAGAAACCGTCAATATAACTTGATTAAATGCATAAAAATGATCACCAACATAGGTTTAGGGGTTTTACTGACAATTTCCACGAGTTTTGGTGAATCTGTGTTTTTAGCAGGGTTTATTCAGAAATCCGTCTGTAAAGGACCATGACGCCTAAGATGGGGAGGGGGGTGAATTAGGCAATTTAAAACTCTAACTCTAAATTATGGCATTTTTTCTATCCTTGACAAAAACCTAGGCAAAAGATAAACTATCTAGATGTGCAACTACGGTTTTGCTAGTGTGTTGCTATCTCTACCGCAAAAAAAAGTTATACAACCTAGGTTCCAAACTTATCAACTAGCCTATCAATAAGCTAGGAAAGTAACACACAAACCAAGATTGCAATGTAAATGCGGAAGCTAAAGAGTAAGGTAGAGATATACAAACTCCTGTCCATGACTCCGGTATTTTTACTGAGGTATCGAGAAGCGCGCAAGCTTCCCACTAGTCCTCGTTGGAACCCCTAGCAAGGGCCAAGCTCCCGGTCGGGTAACTCCGTGAATAGCCCGGGCCTTCCCCATGTGCAAGTGGGTCTCGGTGTGCCTTCCGGCAAGCCTCTCCCGGACCGCTCCCCGTCGTCTTCACCATCAAGTTTCCGACCAAACCGCCGCGGGCCTTGTTCCCTTCGGTATACGGTGGCGGCCACACCACAAATGCGGTTGGTGTGGTATGGCAAGACTACAAGCCCCTCCGATGTACAATAATGGTGCGCAAGCACACAATGGTAAGAGGTGTGCAAACCACACTAAACAATAGGCCTAAACCTAGAGCAACGAATAAGTGGTGGTCTAATCAACCTAAGCACTTCACAAAGCACCTACGCTAATCACTTAATGAATCACTAAGCACTATGCAAGTGGAGATCTCTAAAATAGTGTATCAACACCCTTGGTATGTTTCCTCAACTCTCCACACCTCAAATTGCGGTTGGAGGGTCTATTTATAGCCCCACATGTGAGAACTAGCCGTTGGACCCGAGACCCAACTTTCTACTAGTGACCGGACGTTGATCACGTCCCGATCGGACGCGTCCGGTCCTGCCGACGATTGGAGCACGCGCGTTGATTGGACTCTGGGCGAGTCCGGTCTCACTCGATCGGACAGCGTCCGGTTACGCTAGCGCCGTTCTAGAACCTTTCTGGACATGATCGGACGCTACTTCTTGGTGCATCCAGTCATCCTGCCATCGCGTCCGGTCGCGCTGAGAACGTTGCCGTTGATGATGAACAGTGAAGTCTATGCATCCAATCACTGCCTCGCTCAGTGTCCGGCGCTGCTGCTGACGCCTGCTGTTGTCGAGCAATTGATCGGACGCATCCGGTCCTCATAGGGCCGCATCCGATCACCTCTGCCGAGCTCGTTTCTTCATGATCTTACATCCGGCTTGGTTCCCATATTCGTGCTTGGACTTTGCTTGATATCTTAGATCTTCTCTTATGCTTCTAGGGTCTTCTTATGGTGTTGATCGTGGGTTCATCATGTAGCCTTCGTCCAAGTCACGTCTTGCACCCTATTGAATTACAAAACAATTACTTGTAAATTCATTAGTCCAATTTGGTTGTGTTGGTCATCAAACACCAAAATACAAAGTGAATGGGCCTAGGGTCCATTTTTCTTACAATCTCTTCCTTTTTGGTGATTGATGACAACACGACCAAAGCAAGTAAACAATAAAAGTTTTGGAATTTAAAAACTATTTACTTGCTAGGATGCAATGCAAAGGGCAAGGTTATATGATGCTAAAAGATACCACATGTAAACATCTTTGGAAACTTATCTTGCCCTTGCAAATGTCCCCATGTGGCATTATGGATTTAAGCCTCTCCCTAACCCCATAATCCACTATTCTCCCTTTCTCGGACCATTACCACTTGTAAATTACTATGATTAGGCTTGCTTTTGGTCCTACAAATTCTCCCCCTTTGGAATTAAACATCGAAATGGAGGACATTAGTAGCACAAGGGAGTGTCAAACTTTGTGATCCTTTGTATGTGGAGTGGAATATGTCACAAAATTTGACTCTCACATTATATAGACTAAGCTCTCCCTAAATATATGCATACATATGATGGAGAATGTAATTTATGCATAATTGCCAAATTAATGCTCAAGGGAGTTTAATCTATATAATGCATGGAGAAAGCATATAAATACCAAAGTAAAATCAACATGATGATATCGGGTTAGAAATACCACATGTGGAAACCAATTTAATTTATACCACTTGCAATAGGTGGTGGATATTTCAAGTATGATGCTTAACTCTGGGGACTCCA